CAGTGCTTTGCATATTGTTAATTTTGTTAGGATTTTGTCTGTACCCTTTCCATCAGTGTATTTATTGACTTACCTGTTTGCTTATGGGTCAGGTATTTTCTACTGCTTTGTGAAATGTTTTTCTTTACTTCATATCATTATGAGTCTCTTCCATAGCATTAAGAACAGATGTAGATGAATTTCTAAACAGTCTTATTAAGTAAGAAACACAGAGCCAAATACAGAGGTGCAAGCCGTAGAGATTAGAGCAATAGCCGCCAACTAACCTTAGCTCACCACCTCGCCGTAGCTTCCCAAGAGAGATTCTTCCTGTCTAACCTGCGCTTTTATTGCCTTCCTGTTCTGCCTTCTCATTGGCTCTAAGCCCAGCCACATTACTTCCTCGTCACTGCCTGTCTATATGGACCTCCAGGTCTCTATGGTTGGTACTGGGATTAAAGGTATGTGTTACCACGCTTGGCTGTATCCTTGAACACACAGAGACTCTGCCTGCCATGTGATTGGATTAAGGGCGTGTGCTACCACCACCTGACTTCTGTTTTTGGCTGACTATGACCTCTGATCTCCAGGCAAACTTTATTTATTAACATACAAATAAAATATCACATTTTAGCACAAATAAAATATCACCACAAACAGATTTATGTAGCAGGGCTTTCAGAGAGAGAAAAGGTTGTATGGGAAATGCTAGGCTGAGGGTGACATAAGTCTGCAGCTGCTGTGACTGGAGGAAGCCTCAGCTACATGTAAATTAAGCAAAGTCAGGGTGAAGAATTGGTCCTGATGAGAAACTGGAGATCCCTAGATCCAACTTTGCCTGAAGCTGTCCTTTAAAGAGGCAATAATGCATAGTGGTTAGGAGTATGGTCTCTTGGTGCAGACTGTTTATGCTCAAATGTTGGCTTTCCTTCTGGCTTAAACAAAACAGTGTGATGCCTTTAGGATAGAGTTGGGCTAAAGGACAGCCTTCAGTGAATACTGATTGACCACAACAATACTAAGAGTTGCCAGTGGCATAGGTCAATAAATTTTCTTTTTGACCTGAATTATTTTGATTGATACAAATGTACACACTTCAGAGAGATATCTGTCTTTCAACCAACCTGAAAAATGCATTGATAACAAAATAAAATCAAGTTCAACTTTGAAAATCAGCCATATCTCTCCTTCCATGGATCCACTGTATAACCCCAGTACTTTAAACATCCCCATGAAAGTAACCAAATGCCCTCCCTAGACACAGCTCATGGCATGTGCTCCGTAAGCACTTCCTGGATAAGTAGGCAGATAATATCTCCAAACAGCCAGTTGTCAATATGACAACTGCATTAGCCACGGGAGCTGGTGCGCTCCCTTTAAAAGACTAAACCATCCATTTGTCAGTTACTCCTCTCATGATCTCTCCTCTCTTTACTAAGTCTGGGTAATAAATAAATCTCAAACAAACAGGAAAACCATATTGTCGCCTATCTTGTGGAGTCCTTTGGCCCTCTTTCTCTGTACTGGATTTCCTGGTTGAAATCATCTCTCTTCCCACTCAGTGCTTTCACAACATAGATGAATACAGCAAGAGCAGAAGTGCCCTGACTAGTCCCACTTAAAATTCATCATTTCTAGTCTCAAGTGGCCCCTCAATGCTTCCTCACAATCATGCTCCATTTTCTAGCCCATTCAATCTCGAGTCCTCCCATGAACATCCTTAAGACCACCCATCCTCTTCCCACACCCCTGATGCCGCCTTTCTGGGCCCTGCAGCTGATGACCTTGGTCCCACTTCACTGGGAAATCAGAGCAATCCGAAGAGAACTTCCCCCTCACCTCTCCCCACATGCCAGCATCTACGTCAATGGACATTATTTTCTGTCCTGTTCGTGTGATTTTTCTGTGTGCTTTTAGATAAGATTCTTTTGCTTGTGCATACATCCAATCTATTCCTGTCTTCTCAAGGACATGACCCCTGCCATCTTTCTATTTCTCTTCTTCACCATCATTTTCCCCCTGTGGCCCTGGACTGTTCCCAACAGCATACAAGTGTGGGGGCTAGTTATTCCATCTTTAAAAGAAACTAGCCTGTCTTGACCTCTCCTTTCCCTCCCAGGGCTGCTCCATTGACATTTCTCCCTTTACAGCTCAGCTCCAGAATCATCTCTGCTCATTGGCTCTTCCCATTGGCCCAGAAGCCTATTCTGCTCTGGCTTTCATTGCTCCTGCCTTGTCTTAAAAGACTGTTCTTTTTAAGGTCACCCATGAGTCTCGTAATAATAAATTCAATTCGTTTTAGTTTTTCTTTCAATGTTACGGTGCTAGGTAGGGATCAAACCTAGGGCTTCACTCGTGTTAGGCGAGCACTCTGCCCCAGCCCTCCACCCAGTCTTTAGCCTTTCTTGATCCTACATACAAGCAGCAGCTGGCACAGCTGGCACTCTCTTCTCCTAGCTGTGCCCCCTGGAACACACAGTCTGTGAGACATCCTCCCTGTTTCTCTTCCAAGTCTCCATCAATGGTTTCCTTTGGTTTCCATGACTTCTAACTTGGAGTATCCTAGAAATTAGTTTGGGGACATCATTTCTTTCCTTTCTAGGCTCATTCTTTTAGTGGCATCACAAGTTCTCAGGATTGATAGACCTCCTACATACTTAACAAACTACAAATGTGCGTCCTTTCTCCCCTGATCTATCAATTTCTCAGCGCTCCACTAGGGTGTCTGATGGATATCTCAAACTAAGCATGTCCCAAATTGAGGTCTTACTAGCTGTCTAGAACTTGACTTTACCCCAGTCTTAGACATCTAAGTAAGCAGAAACTCTAGTCTTTTCATTGTTTAAGTCAAGACAACTCCAGTCAGTGTGAATCTTTCGTTTTCCATACCCCACATCTAACCTGTTGGCAAGTCCCAATTATTCTCCCCTCAGAACATGGCTGACCCTCATCACCTCTGTTGCTGCCATCTCATCAGAGTAGCCATCCTTTTATATCTGAATTCCACAGGCAGTGCTGTAACCCTGCTCTCTTTCTCTCTCTCTCTCTCTTCCTTTCCTACTTCCCCATGTTGCCCTTTGGTTTAGAAGTTGCTGTATCCCTGAAAACTGCATTTCCCAGAATCCGCTGCGAGGCGGTTTCTAGTTAGGTTCCCTGAAAGGAAGTCTAGGAAGCAGAAAAGAAAATAGACAGACAGGAGAAACGAGAGGTTGTTTATCCATAGCATTAGCAGTAACAACAGTGGTGATTGAACTTCTAATTCATGGTCGCATCGCATGGTGCTTGCAGTGGCAGACCTTCAGGCTCAGCCCCACAGAACCCGCAGGCTTTGCTCCGTCCGTCCGTGTAACAGCCCCTCAGACAATGTGACTATGGTAACAGAAGTGTATCTCCAGCAGTCACATCCTACAGCAACTGTGGGCTTTCAGCATCACCCTCCTTTCTGTTCCCACAGCCCAGGAGTAATTCCTGCAGAGCTTAATGTTTTTAAAGTAACTCTCACTTCCCTACTCACTCCTCCAACCCCTCCATCACTTTTGGATCCAGTTCCCCCCGCCAGAGAGAGAGAGAGAGAGAGAGAGAGAGAGAGAGAGAGAGAGAGAGAGAGAGACTTCTTTTGTTTGAAATACCTAGAGAGCAGCTCTGTTTTCTGGACAGATGTTGTTAAAGTCCCTAGGAGGTCTGAAGTCCAGTTTCAAAAGCAAGCTGGATTTGGCCACTCAAAGCTGTCTGTGGCTTCTGAGCTTACTCAGAAACTCCATTCTTGGCGCTTTCCAATAACGCTGGAAATCTTCTGATATAATAAGCCAAAGGGAACTGCGCCTGATTCCCAGGTCACCCCCCTCCACTCTGCCCCACGCTCTTCTCAGACAACCATCAGACTCAAAGGCATTTCCATTAAAAACTGAAAAGCTAACAGAAAGATCTGCCATGAGAATCATGAAGAAATAGAATGATTCCCTTTTTATTTTTAAGAAGACCAAATGCACTGATGCTAGTAGATTTATACAGACACAGAAAACACTAAGTGTGCACAGGGGGAGGCGGCTCAGCTGGCAAAGTGTTCACCATGCAAGCATGATGTTCCATCCCCAGCATCCACACAGAATGCCAGGTGTGGGGTTTAAGTGGGGGCAGTAAGATGCTCGGCGGGCAAAGGTACTTACAGCCAGGCCTGCCCATTTAAGTTAGATCTACAGGACTACATGGTAGGAGAGAGAAAATTCCCAAAATTTGTCCTTTAACAGCTACATGTGTGTCGTGGCTTGTGTGCCAACACCTCACACACGCTATGCAGATAAGCATATGTAATAACTTTTGAGAACCCAGGTGTAGCACTCTGTGCTTCTAATCCCAGTGTTGAGAAGCAGGACAGGAGTGTCCCTCCAGTTTGTCAGCCAAGCAGCCCAGCCTGATCGAAGAGCCACACACCCCAGACTCAGTCTCATAAAAAACAAATCAGAGCAAGAAGTGTCACCTGCTCAGTTAAAATTTAAAAAGCTCTGTACAAACTGAGAGGTAGCCACAAGGTTTAAGAAAATGACACACTGAATTTTGATGGGTTTGCTTTTTAACTGATTCTCTGTCAATTTTAAAGGGCAAGTCTGGTCATTTTAACTTAAAGAAAACCATTTAGTATTGTGACAAGGATGTTTTCCTGCTGTCCTGACAATTCCCCACACACCTGCTATGTTTGGAAAGTTTTACTCGTGCAAGGCATGACGGTGAACTAATTTTCTTCTCTTTATGTTGACACTTGACCCCTACTACCAGTGTGGGGTCACACAGAACAGAGTCATCTTATTTTCCTATAGAGTAAGTAACGGGAGAGGAAGCCACACTACTGTCTGATTGTGCACATGGCAAGGGTTACTTCACAATGGCGGTGGTGAGGGGGTGGGGTGATTAATTTCCTTGTCAACTTTACTGACTCTAGAATCACCTAGGGCATTAATGAGGCTTCCTCTGATAGGTCTGTGTCCATGTTTCTAGAGAGGACTGATAAAAGAGAAGACCCAGCATGAGTGTGGACGGCAATCATCTCATGGGCTGGGAACTTGGACAAAATGAAAGGAGTAAAAGGAGACAGTGAGATAAACACCAGGCTCCGCCCCTCTCTGCTTCTGTCCACTCTGAAGTGAGGGCAGCCTCCACCACAGGCTCCCACTGCCATGAGGCTCTGCCCAACCACATGGGGACGAGGGACCTGAAGCCGGCCCTCACACCATGAGTCAAAACAACCAATCCTCCCCCTGGTTATTCTGGTCATCACAATGCAAAAGTAATGAAGTAGAATCGCAGCTCTCAACCTGTACCTCCTCTGCTTTCCATACTGGGTGACGCCTCTAGATGCAGAGCAACCGTTTAGATGCTTGTCTGAGGAAATATTTCCTGTTTCAGACTGTGGTGGCAGCGCTGCCGGCTTTGCTGTGCCTGACCCTGCTTCCGATGTTCTATCGTGACCTTGTATCGCTGCTGTGCCCTCTCAGATTTCCTCCTTGTGGATTAGTGACCCCGTTTCCTCCGTCTCCCAGTGGCACTGTGAGGAGACGGTGCACACAACAGAGGCTTCTGAAAGAACCATGAACTCCGCCAACAAAAACACCCGGTGGTACCTCTTGAGCTATCTCTCTTTGCCAAAGAGGTTGATTTTTTTCACATCCAGGTCTCCAGCCCTGGTGGTTTTGAGGTCACCACAGTGGCAAGCAGCAGGCATGAGAACAGTTTAAGGAGGTCAGGGGCTGCGCATGTGGGAGACCTAACTAATTTATACCGTGCAAACAGTCCATGAGTCATTCGTTAGGTGAAAATGTAGACTAGTGCAGGCAAAGACAGGGTGGCTTTTGGCAGTTCCGGGTATATTTTTTCCATGTATTCTCTTCATCACCCCCTAAACTTTTTAACATTACCATAGTTTAAGAAATATAATTATGCTCTTTTAAAAGACATTTCACATACAGAAAAATAAGACAACACTTCTGTGTTTGTGGGGGTGGGGGGTGGCTTGAGAGACACGTGCACAGAGTGCTATGGTGTCCTGCAACTTTCGTTCACACAGCGTGCTGACACCTATAGACTGAACTCAGTTTCTGAGAGACATTCCTCGCAGATCTGCTGCCTCTAGTTGGTTACAATTGGGATGAAATTTAGCTGCATCTGACTGGCACCCCCCTACATACCCCCAACAACAGCAGTTTGAATAAGATATAAATTTGTCTCATTTCAAGATTGTCCAATAGAAGGCAGTCTGGGTCTGTGTGGAGTTTGGTGGTGTCAGCCACCCCAGCTGCTTCCAACTCTCTGCAGCTTTGGATGTACCCCACCTCCTCCCGGAAGATGGGTGCCAGGGTTCTCGAAGGCTGGGTCTCCAGTGAAATGACGGCTTGGGGGATGGGAGAAGGGGTGCTGCCTGCTTCTGAGGGAAACTGTCTGCATACTTTTCATTTGTTAGGATTTAACCATATAGGGGGCAGAAAGACGGCTCCGTGGGTAGAGATGTCTGTGGCCAAGCTTGATGACCTAAGTGACCACCATGGAAGGAGAAAACAGACACCTGCAAACTGTCCTCTGACCTCCATTTGCATGCAGTGGTACTTGTGCCCATATACATACACACACATAGACACATACACACATACATACACACATTCATACATACACACACATACATGATAGATGCATAGATATGTAGATAGATGATAGATATATGGATAGATAAATAAATGTATTTTTTAATTTAAAGAATTTAATTACACAGCAACACCTGGCTGAATGTTAGGACATAGCCACTTTTGATGGACAAAATATCAACTGGCTGGATTTTTCCTCCAAAAAGAAAGTAGATATTCGGAAGGCAAGTGGCAGTTTTGGCCTCAGTTTCTTGAGATTCTAATACTTAGGAGGCTTTGGGGAACCTCTTTTGACACACAGAGATCAGTCATGTGTTCTCAGCCAGTGAAACCAGACCCCTGACTAGCCATGGACTTGTTCATTATGTGCCGGTCACTAACACAGTGGCTGGTTCCATGAGAGCGTGAAGCTGAGAGGAAAGTGGTCTGGGACGTAAAGGTGTAAGGGTCAAGAGCACAGTCAAGAGGTCCGGGCTTCTGCCAACCAAAGAGAAGTTAGGCAGTTCATGGAGTACTGCTGCTGCTTGTCCTGAGGGTGGACACTTCCTCAGTAAAGGGCATTTACTGCCTCTCAGTATGTGATTTGCATGGTTTTTAACTTTAATAATTTCTCTCAAAGTAGCTATGTTAAGCCACACTTCCATCTAATCTCAACTCTGCAAATTAAGAAATTAGATCTAAAATATAATTTTAAGGTGGATGTGGTGGTGCATGTCTGCAAATGGATTGTTGAATCCAGTAGGAGAGGCAAGGAGAGCTTACACTCAGGGCTGTCCTTGGCTACACAGGGAGTTTCAGGCAAGCCTGAGCTACATAGGAAGACTGTGCTTCAGAACCTCAAAGCCTCCTGACATCGCTCAGTGGTAGTGCTCTTTCCAAGGGTGTTCAAGGTTCTGGGTTCAAGGTTCCCCAGGACCGCAAATGCCAGTCATATAGAAAACAGTTTATATGTAATTACTGTTTCTATTAGTATTCCTCTATTGCTGAGGGTGAGAACATTTTCATATGTTTTTAAACATTAGTAATTTCTTGTCTGGAATTTTCCTCTTCATCGACTTTGCCAAATTTCCTGAAATGTATGTTTTCATGTAATCTGAGACAATGCTGTCGATTGTTTCCAATTGGATAAGCAATTGTCCAAGAGCAGCTGCTGAATGACCGGCCGTCTCTCCTCACAGTTTTGTCCAAGAGCGACTGCTGGTTGGTCCTCTCTCCTCACTGAAATTAATGGCTCCATCCCTCATCTCTCTCGTGACTAAATGCACGAGTGGAAAAATAGCGCTGAAGTTACAAAATGGATGTTAAATAGAACTGATCACTTGTCAAGCTGGCCGATATCGTTTCAGTGATAAGCAACAGGCTTGTGGGAAGAGTATTTAAAAACTTGAGCAATTACATCGGAACAGCGATTCTGGAAGACAATTTGACTGTGAGTATCATGAACTTTAACCAATACCTGCAACCTTTTACCCCAGGATAGAGATTAATTCTAAGAAAATAGATTCTAAACATGTACAAAATTTTGTGTATAAAGAAGGGGGTTTCTCTGGTCACATAGAGTGTGTATGTAATTGGAAGTCATCTGAAGGGCAATGCTCTGTAGAAAACTTCAGCTATACTCGGGGATTTTTTACTTGGCTGTCTTGTAGTCTTTTGCTCTCTTGTCTCCCAGTTCAGATTGGCCAGGAAAAGGCAGGTCACAGATTAGACCACTCACAAGGGAGAGCAGTACTAGGCATGTGTGTTTGAACTTGTCCCTTAAATGGGCCAGCCTCGTGGTTCAGTTCTGACTTCACGTTAAAATCATCCGGAGAGGTCTTGGAGAGCAGCACAAGCATATACCGCTCATGTAGAACAGTCAAGTTCAGTTCCCAGTACCTGATAGGCATCAGAATGCTCACAACTATCTGTAACTCCAGTTTAAGGGATCCACTGCCAGTGTGGGCACTTGTACCCATGTGCACATGCACACACACACACACACACACACATACTTAAAAATACAAAATAAAATAAAATAACAAAAAATGAATCTTAAAATCACCTGCAGAGATTTTTTAAAAAATCCCCTTGTATCCCAGGCCTCACTGGCTCTTGATTCCATTGGTCCTGGATGAGGCCTGAGGGGTAAGTCTTCATTTTAAAACTCCCTGGATGATTCTTATGTGCAGCCAGGGTCAAGATCCATTGCTAACCAGAACTCCCTTTAAGTTGATTAATTATACAGTCTATTGACCAACACTGCAAATAACGGCCCTCAAGAAACCCTAGGGAAACCAGGCCACTGCTTGCATCTGGCTAGTCAGAAATGGGCAGTAGCCAAGCTTATCCCCCAAGAGCCTGGCTTCCCTGGACACACTAGCGCCCCGCCAGCCAAGTGTCTGTTTGATTTAGTACCCAAAGGGCCATGGGCGACCTTGACAGGCACACCTACTAGAGAAGGATTCTTGACTGTTCTGTGACAAACTGCCATAACAAAGCTACACACCAGTTTGAGTTTCCATTTTTAGCCTCTTTATTACCTCCATCTGTTGATGGGGGTGGCGGCGGCAAACACAGAGTGTGAGCGGCAGCGTTATCTGGTATTGTATAAATAAAGGCAGACAAACTCCTACAGAGTCTCCCACATGCGGGGGTCTACTGCTCCTTAAGTGGGTACCTCCTTCTGTCCCTGTAGTTTATTTCTACCCTCCTTCTTCCTGTCTCTGCTGCCTTCTCCCCCACCTCAATAACAAGTTGGCAGTTTACACTCCATTTCACACAAACAACTTTTTGCTCCTCCTTGCTCACATAGTGATGGCTTGGGGCTTAGCTGCAGACCTTGAAAATGCTTCCCTATTTTCATCAGTGACTATCTATTCTGTGATCCCTATCTGTCTCCCAACGCCCCGTTTTCCCTGTCTATGGATGTGAGATGGAAAACTACACTATGGTTCACTTCAGATGCTACCACCACACTAAAGGGGGAGCGCACTAATGTGTAGAACCTGCTTTATGGATATAAAGCAAAAGAAGTGGGGAACGCGCGGATAACGTTTGTTGTGTCTGGGTCTCTGGGCTACTTCTACTTCACTAAGATCCCTAAGAGAGAAGAAACGGAGCGGGGTACACACACTTCCCGTATCCCAAGCACTGTTCCTGAAGTTCAGTCATTTATACCAGCACCTCGTGTCTGTCTCACCCACGGACCAGCTGCATGATTGATTCTGTAGCAGTTCTTTGTCTCTGTGTGTTTGTTTGTTTGGAGTCGGGGCCTTATTTTGTAGCCCAAGCTAGCCTTGAACTCACAGCAATCCTGCCTTCCGAGTGCTGGGGTTGCAGGTGCATGCCTCCATAGCTATCTTCTTCTTTATGTTAGATACTGTTCTGGTTTCGTTTCTGTGGCTGTGATAAAGACTCTGACCAAAAGCAATTAGGGAAGGAAAGGTTTATGTCAGCTTGGAGGTTTCATCTCATCACTGAGCGAAGTCAGGGCAAAACTTGAAGAAGAAACCATGGAGAGTGCTGCTTATTAGCTTGGTCAGAGACTCATGCTTAGCTAGCTTTCTTATACATCGCAAGACGACCTATCCAGGGAATGGTGCCACCCATAGTGGGCTGGGCCCTTCTTTATCAGCTAGTGATCAAGACAATCATCTACAAACATGCCCACAGGCCAATCCGATGTGGGTAATCCCTCAACTGAAATTCCCTTCTCAGATGACTCTAGATAGTGGTTCTCAACTTGTGAACCCTGGCCCCTTTGAGGGTCATATATCAGATATCCTGCATAGTAGATATTTACATTACAATTCATAACAATAGCAAAATCACAGCAGTGAAATCATTTTATTAGCAGCAAAATAGTTTTATTATTAGAGATATGGTAGTTTCAATGTAATGGGGCCCCATAATCTCATAGGGAATGACACTATTAGGAGGTGTGGCTTTGTTGGAGTGGGAATGGCCTTGTTGGAGAAAGTGTGTCACTGTGGGGGTGGGCTTTGAGTTTTCCTATGCTCAGGATACTGCCCAGTGTGTCAGTTGACTTCCTGTTGCCTGCAAGATGTAGGACTCTCAGCTGTCTCTCCAGTATTAGGTCTGTCTGAATGCCTCCATGCTTCCAGTTAAGATGATAATGGACTGAACCTCTGAACTGTAAGTGAGCCACCATGATTAAATGTTTCCTTTATAAGAGTTGTCATGGTCATAGTGACTCTTCACAGCAATAAAAAAAAACTAAGACAGGGGGTCACGACAACATGAAGAACTGTATTAAAGGGTCAGCAGCATTAGGAAGGTTGAGAACCACTGCTCTGGAATATTGAGTTGACAGTTAAAGCTGACTAGGATGCGTACATTTGTATATTACTAAAAACAAAAGACCAGTGTCATTTTCCAAAATTGAAGGTAAGTTTAAAAGATACGATACAGACCAAACAGTGCTGTGTCTTTCTTTAGATACTGTTGCCTGCCAGGAGCTGGGTTTGAAACCCCATCTCTCTTTGTTTAAAAGTTGAATAAGCATAAGAGGTAAAAGAAATGATATTTTAGCACCAGGTTAATATCTTGTGAAATAATCAAAAAGATGATTTTTGAAAGATGCTTACAGCAGAAGAACGTTCTTTGCAGTTGGTGGCTATGTGAGAGCGAGCTGATTTTTTTCTTGGTCCTTAAACAGTTGGAGAGGCCAGCCCAATGCTTTCTTTTCTTTCTAGTGAGAGCCTCTCCCTGCCCATCTCCCTATTTTAGCTGTACCCAGAAGTATGCTTGAATATGATTTGGGATTCTTCTGCCTTTAAGCCGAGTCAACCATCTAGTACCAAAAATCTCTTCCTGAAATGCTCTAATTCAGCAGGTCTGGATCACAGCTGTGCTGAGCTTTGGAGAGTACCTTGCTGTGAGGATAAGCTACTCCTCTCTTAGGAGGCAACTCCTCTCTTAGGCATTCCACTGTGAGCAGTAAGACACCTCCATCACCCCCAGAATCACCTGGATTAACCCTCCAAGTCACTCAGCTCAAAAGCCCCAGGGACTGTTAGTCATGATTATAGAATTTCATGGAACTGAGAAACTATGAGGAGATTAATGTCTGTGATGTATCTCCAGGGTCGATTAGAATCTAACCAGATTCATTCACTGACACATTCCTATGATGACATTATAGAGTAGTGGTGAAAGGTAGGGGGTGTGGCCTCATTACAGGAAGTATATCACTGGGGGTGTATCTTCCCAGACCCCTTCCTGCATCCTCTCCTGCTTCCTGCCCTCCATAAAGTGAACAGCTCTCTACTGCTGTGCATACCGCTGCCATGATATTCTGCTCACATGCTCGGGGCCCATGATGGTGGACGGAACTCTATAACCATGAGCAAGACAAACCCTTCTCCCTTCGGGTTCTTTCAGGGATTTGATCACAGAGATGAGGAAATAACTAACGGACACCAAACTAATCCAAACCACTTGAGCCAAATGGTGGAAACTGAAAAGCGTTTTTGATATTAATGACTCCAGGGAACATGTGCCCTTCAACCTGTACCTGAGATGTGGAGACTGGAGAAGGAAGCGAGGTGAGAGAAGCCTTCTCTCTGCTCTAACAGCAGCATAGCTCCACTTCCCGGTCTCATGCTATGCTAATTTCCATTTCACTGCGAGGTCTGAGACCTGGTTCTACAGCTGCAACCTTTGTGAACACTGGTCCCAAACCAACCAACAAACAAACAACCTGGTGAGAGGAAAGCAGTCAGTCCAGCTGTTCAAGTCACCTTGAACTCATCATCTTCATTACCTGCCCCAAAGGACACACCAAGCAGTGGACCCACTCATGGGTAGCGTGACTCAGACCTGACACCTGTACCAGAATAGGTCTGGATTCCTAGTCAAGGACAGACCTAAATTTTGGTGTTCTGGACCCAAGTCATCTCCAGTTTGCCCCCCTGCCTGTAGATCTAGGAACCTGGCCAACCTGAGCTCAAGGTCTGTCTGTTATGACTTCCCAGGTGACCCTGACCGAATTAATGGAATTTCTTAGTACCTCAGCTTTAATCTCTGTTGGGGGTAATAATAACAATGAGGATTACATCTTGGAATTGTTAGGAAACTTAAGTAAGAAGGGATGTAAAGAGATTGCCTAGTGCCGGCAGACGGAAGTGAGCGCTTAGAAAAGGTTAGCCTCCAGGTGTTATTATCATCATTGTTATTCATGACTCTCTGAGTGAACCACAGATAACAGTCAAGTGTTAAACCGTGGCGGTGGACATTTCCTCTTATTTTGTGCCGACCATCCAAGAAAGAATGGACTTTCTTACACAATGAGTGTTGGCAGCCAAGTCCACTCTATTCTGTATGGAGAAAGTGTCCACTTTCACTTTCTTGACCTCTCTTACAACCAGGGATGCTCAAAAGATTTCCTGTGTTGTTTTGCAGGGAATGATGAGTGAGCACAGCGGAAGCGGCTGTAATTGTTAAGGGGATTACCATCGTGAAAGAGAAACCAGCTTGTTCTGCACTGCAGAGTAGTAAAGGTTGCCTGAGGGTGGGACTCTACCCACTAAAGTGTCCAGCTTGTGGAAATGCAAGTGAGCTGAGAACCCACTGAAGAAGTCCACGCTTGAGAGCAGCTGCCTAGGGAAGTGTTGACCTGGGTTCTGTTGTCAGGGTGCTCAGAGGCCACTCCGGATGTGGTGGGAGGGAGCCAGGCTACATCTGAAGCTGGCGGCAGAACCTGACAGCATCATCCCCGTGTTGCTGCTTTTGCTGGCATGCGAAATTCAAGAGGTACAGGGGTCATGGAGGCTTGCACCAAGTTCCACAAAGTCACTGAGGCCAGGCAATGTGTTGGCAGGTTAGATTCTCTCTAAGGAGGCCACTAGTGAGCAATCATTACCTGAAGCTGGAAAGGTGAAGCTTAAGTTGTAGTGGGGGCCCAAGGATGTTGGAGTTTTCAGACGCAGAGTGGAACCAACACAACAGAAGGTCATATGTGCTATAAGCAGCATAGATGGAGGGGCGGGGCTGCCCAAGGCCATCAGAATCCAAACGACTCCATCATGAGCCTTGGGTGGTGGACCTGGAACTCTTGGGGTTAGTGTTTCTTCTGCTAGATTTTGCCCTTTGGCCCAGTCTTTCCTTGCCGTATTCCTGTTCCTTACTCTTGGTATGGGAATGCAGATGTCAATCTTTATTTTACAAGGGCTTACAGTTGAGGGATTGTCTTGAGTGGCAGAAGTGAATGCTAAAAACTATCGTGGGCCAGGTAGATGGTTCAGTGGGTAAAGGTACTTGCCACCAAGCTTGAGGACCTGAGTTGAATACCCAGAACTCAAATGGTAGAAGGAGAAAACCAACTCCTGAAAGTTATCCTCTGACTTCCACAAGTGCTATGGCATGTACATTCATGGGTACACACACACACACACACACACACACACACACACACACACACACACGAATGAATGAATGAATGAATGAATGAATGAATGAATGGAATAAACATTTTGATTTAAAGACTCTTGGGACCAAGGGTACAAGATTATGGCTTAAAGCTATTCATTTGGGTGTCAAGGTGACAAGTGGTGGATTTGGTGAATGATCAATGTGGCCGGATTTGGAATCACCTAGGAGACACCTAGGCACATCTGTGAAAGCACTTCCAGAGGTTTAACTAAGATTGGAAGACTAACCCCTGAACATGACAGCACCATCCTATGGACTGGGGGCTCATTATTTTCTTAATAATTTATTCATATTATTTTATGTGCATTGGTGTGAAGGTGTCAGGTACCCCGAAACTGGAGTTACAGGCAGTTGTGAGCTGCCATACGGGTGCTGGGAATTGAACCTGGAACCTCTGAAAGAGCAGCCAGTGCTCTTAATCTTCGTTATTTTTAACCAGAGCCCCCCAGTTTTGTTTGTGCTCATCCGAGTGTGGATTTGCTTGCATAGCATGTTAGATGTCATACATCCAGCTCTGCAGCCAAAGTACAGAGCAGCCCCAGCATCCCAGAAATCTGTCATGCTACCTTTTAATGAGCTTCCCTACCTCTTTCCCATGCCACTCCTTAGGCTAACAAGCAACATGCTCTCCAGTTCAACTATTGCACACATAGAATCACATGCTAGACAATGTTTTAGAATGGGCCCTTTTCACTTCACATAATTTCATATGTTACACATGTCAACAGTTCATTCCTGTTTGTGCTATAGTCACTCTGTGATTTCTTCAGTCATGGTACTTGCCAATTACAAATAAAGCCGCTATGTGTGTACATGTAGGGGTTTTTGTGTGGACATAACTTTTCATTTCTGTGGATAAATAAATGCCCAAGAGCTCAATTGTGGATCAAGTAGTAATTGAATGTTTACCTCAAAAGAAACAGGGAAACTCTTGCTGGGTAACCATCCCATTCAAAAGCACACACGCAATCCAATTTCTCCACATCCACAGCGTTCGCTGTTGTCACTACTCTTTAATTTTGGCAGTCCTCATAGGTGTGTAGTGACACCCCTCTAGAGTCAGGGACCATTTTTCTCATGGCTAATGATGCTTAGCATCTTTCTGTGTGCTTGTTCCCACAGTCTATGTCCTTCTTGGTAAAATGTATCTTCACGTCTTTCACATGTTCTCTAAGCTGAATTTTTCAATCTTGGTATTAAGAGGTCTTTATTCTCTTTACTGGTCCTTTGGGGGACACATGGTTTGCAAATATCTTCTCTTGTGTCTGCGGCTTGCTTTCGCATTCTTTTCACAGGGTCTTTTTATTTTGCTCATATTTTATGTCTATGGGAGTTTTGCCTGCACACATGTCTGTGACCTCCTGTGTGCCTGGTGCTGGAGGAGGCCAGAGGAGTACGTGTACATCTGATCCCAGGGAACTAGACTTGCAGATGGTTGTTAGACCCCATTGTAGGTGCTGGGAATTGAACGCTGCAGAAACAGCTGAACTGCTGAACCATCTCCCTAGCTCCTTCCTAGGGTCTTTTGAAGAGAAAGCCTTCTAAACTTGGGTGGGGTCAAACTCACCAACTTCTCCTTTTATAAACTAATGCTTTTGGTGTGGAGCCTAAGGATTCATATTTTTTTCACTTTTCTGGAAGTTTTAGGCATAAAAATACATTTTGTATTTAAAGCTATGCTCCATCCTGTTTTGTATCCATTTTGTGTCTAACCATACAAATAAATGTAAATGTGTGACGTTAGAAAAGTAAACCCTGTCACAACCCAGTCCTGTTGGATAACCTAATTTTCCCACGAACCTTTATATTATGGGCCTTTTGTATGTTAATCCAAGTTTAGTCTGTTTGGTTGTCTAATAAGTCACTGCCTTGATGCATCAGAAAGCAGGCATATTTTAAACCCGCTTACGCTGTCCCAATATCCATTTAATAGGTTTCTTTTCAGCTTAAACAGGCAGCTTTGGTATCTGTTGCTAGAAGCTAAGGACTCTCGCACAAGCACATAAGCTGCTTTCTGAGGTTATTTAAGCAAACATCACATGTTGACTGTGCCCGAAAAAGAGCTGGAACCTGAAAAATGTTTCCTCTTGCCCCTTGAATCAGAGAAGCCTGCGGCTTCAATGTAACTCCATCTCTGCGTGTGAAGAGCTGCTCCCAGCCCACAGCACTCAGGTCATCTGTTTCTATTTCAGAGCGTATTTGAGGATTTACATAGACTTGTTCTGGAAGACAGGAGTGAGTCATTGCCAAGGTTGAGGTTTCAGGCTTGTAGAGGTCATTGAGCTCGTGTAGTGGTTCTTCCCTGGTAGCACAAGCCAGCATCATGGCAGGGGGTGGGGGTTAACTTCTGCCTGCTCAGCTCCCACCTGGCTTTGCTGGATTACAGTCATCCAGGAAGGGACCTACTAACACCCAGTCCATACTCGGAACAATGGATGGCTGCCTTAGCCCAGTCTTTGTTCATTTCAAATAACCCAAAGTTAGACTCTCTGGAGAAAGATGCCTGTTTGACTACTTAAGTCATCTGTCTCTTAGAAAGTTCCACCTACTGGATTTTAAGTTGCCTTGCTATAGAGCTTCCACCAGCTACAAGCTCCCCTAGCCATACGGTGCTTTCTCAGGTTCAATGCTGTGGACGATCTGAGCTGGCTCATTCTGAGTTCTGAGGTTGCCCTCAGTCCCTATGTATTGCAGGGTGCTGAACAACATCCTTAGCTTCTCCTTTTACAAGCCAATCATAGCTTTCCTCTCCCAGTTGAGATTATCAACAAACTCTACAGACCTAGGCAAATATTCTTGGGAGGGGTTGCAAAAATCCCAAGACGCCTTTCTAAAACATCTCTGTGTATGTGTGTTCACATGCAGGCATGCCTATGCACGCACGTGTGTGTGTGTGTGTGTGTGTGTGTGTGTGTGTGTGTGTGTGTGTGTGTGTGTGTACGTGCATGTGTATGAGCATGTGGAAGCCAGAGGTCATCATTTGGTGTTATCACATCCCATCTTACTATTTTTATTCTAACTCTTGTTGTTTTGAGATTATGATTCCATCTTACTTTGACAGGGCCTCTCTGAACCTGGAACTCAGCGATTGGAGTCAAACTACCTGGCCAGTCCCAGGATCCCCCTGTCTCCATCCCCCAGTGCTGAGGCTGCATGTATGTGCTGCTGCCTAACCTTTTAAATGAGCACTAGCAATGCAATCTCAGATCCTCATGTTTACACAGCAGTACTTTGCTAACTGAGCCATTTCCCCAGATCCCTACAACTTTTATTTATTTATTTATTTATTTATTTATTTATTTATTTATTTATTTATTTGACAGAGTCCAACTATACAGCCCTGTCTGGCCTGAAACTCATTATGTAGACGAGGCTGGCCTTGAACTTACAGAGATTCACCTGCCTCTGTGTCCTGAATACTGGAATTAAAGACATGTGCCACTATACCTGCCCAGCCCTATAACAACTAATTGCCTCAAATGACGGGGAACTCACTCTGAAGCAGCCGATTCGATTGTCTCAGAAGTCTGACCATAGAACTATTTTGCTGAGTAGACACATTCCTTCCCACAACTTCCATCTTTGACTTATAATTCTGATTTCTGACACCACATCAAAGCAAGCTTTACTGATTTCAAAGTCATCTCCCTTGCTCCCCTGAAAGGGTGCTGCAATTCCAGATACACTTCCTGCTCCTTGGGTGACATATTTTCTGTGTCATTCACCCTCTGCCAAACAGCCTCCAGTTTGCTATCCCTCATGACCCATGGCACCGAACTGAACACAGCATTCCAGGTGTGGCCTACCCATCCAGGGTTCACAGGAGCTACTTCCTGTGTGCTGCAGCTCTTAATGCATCCCTGGATCACATCAATCATTTATTTGGTGACCACATCCCGCTGTTGACTCAGACTGAGCTTGTGGTCAATTAAGAACCACAGTCCCTGCTCACACGGCTCTTCCTTTCGCTCCATCCTGTGCTGTGGCTTGTGTGAGTGCGCCTGTTTGCCTGCATGCGCATGTGCTAGCTAGCCTAATTTTAACCTAATACACTGATTTGTGGTTAAGCTTCATATCCTTGGTTTCAGTATGTCATTTTAGAACACAGCGTCTTTCAAAAATATGGATTCATCATCAACAGAAAAGCTCTTCTGACCAATTTGTACTATCCTCAAATTTTCAGATTGGCAGTCCCTACTGTGTGTTCACTACAGTTACTGTTAGAAACACTTGCTGTCTGGAGCAGACTGGATAAAGGTACTGAGGAACTTCCGAGACAGCTTGTATCTAATAACAGGGGTTCTGTGATGCTTTAGCCTCCAACACCCCACTCCACATTCTGAGCAGCCTTAAAAGGAAATTCTAGAACAATGAACTTGGGGGCATCAGGTTAAATTAACTATGCCATTCTCAAAGGACAGATGCAGACTTTCTCTGTATGGAGTTCCTATGTTGTCAAAAAATCAGAGTGGTGGGGTAGGGGGATAACTCAGTGGATAAAGTGTTTGCCATGCAAGCAAGTATGGAGACCAGAGTTCAAATCCCCAGAATCCACTGAAGTTAGACACAGTAGTTAATATCTATAATCCTAGCACTGCTACAAGGGGATGGAAGGAGTGGAGAGACTTCCCGGAAGCTCGTGAGCCAGTTAGCTTGGCATCTACAAGAAAAACAAAAGATCCTGTCTCAAGCAAGGTGGAAGGCAAGGGCCGAAACCTGAGGTTGTCCTCTGACTTGCACATGTGCCCTGTGGCGTGTGTGCACCCACACTCAGGTGTTGAAGGGTTTAAACTTTCCCACTTTTTACAACTGAATTTAGGTTTCAGTTCTCTGAGAGGGGCAAAACAGGTGTCTCTTCCAACAAAGGGCCAGTAATCAACAACACCCTTAATCAGGGACAAGGGAGAGAGCACACACAAGGTCTGAGTCTGTCCCACAGTGTCTCAAGGACAAATCCTGCAGCCCCCCTTCAGAGTCATGTCCAGACTTGGCCAAACTTGCTCAAGTATAACCAAAAATGGTAAAACTAAACCTCAGCCAATTAAAAATATACTAATAACTAGTAATAAAAATGTAAAATAACTGCTGCTTGCTTGACCAATTATGTTTGAGATGACCTAACTGTTCCTGAAATTCCCCCGGCTGTGCATAAAAGAGGCCTGCACGCTCCTCTCGGGGTTGTCGCCATTGTGTACAGGTGTTCAACCCCTGCATGCTGGTATGGTAATAAATACTCTTTGAGTCTGGGATCTTCAGTGTTTTCTTGGACCCCTATGTTGTGAATGTACACACACACACACACACACACACACACACACACACACACACACCCCAGGGGTCAAGGGTTAAGAAAAGGAAGATGGTGATTACCAGGGCCTGGGGAATGACTGGATGGAGTTTCAGTTTGGAAAATGAGAATGTTATGGAGATAGTGATGATGTCTGTACGGTAGCATGCCTGTCTTTCTGCCACTTAAATGAACACTTAAAAATGGTTAGGACATGGCCGGGCAGTGGTGACGCACGCCTTTAATCCCAGCACTCGGGAGGCAGAGGAAGGCAGATCTCTGTGAGTTCAAGGTCAGCCTGGTCTACAGAGTGAGATCCAGGACAGGCACCAAAACTACACAAAGAAACCCTGTCTTGAAAAACCAAAAAAAATAAAATAAAATAAAAAGCCAGGCGGTGGTGGCTCACACCTTTAATCCCAGCACTTGGGAGGCAGAGCCAGGCGGATCTCTGTGAGATCAAGGCCAGCCTGGGCTACCAAGTGAGTTCCAGGAAAGGCGCAAAGCTACACAGAGAAACCCTGTCTCAAAAACAAAAAAAAAAAAAAAAAAAAGAAAAGAAAACAAAAACAAAAACAAAAAAATTGGTTAG